AAACGATATTAAAGAAAGGAACGTATATAAATGTCGAACATCCATTAACCGAAAGCAGAATTATCGAATACTGGATATGCCGATGAATCAAATGGATGATGCTCCAATTATGGAGTAAATTAGACGAACTCATTGTTCGTCGATGAAAAACCTTTCCAGTGAAAGCTGATTTTCGTCGAAGGGTCGAAATGCAGGAAGAAGAAATAAGCAAATTGTTGTCAGCGTGGTTCTCTGCGTGTTTCAGGCTATTTAGAAATTCATCAACTTTGGAATCACACGTTTCATTGCATGGTCCATGAAGTAAACAACTTCGTCATATCTGGAATCTTAGTCCAGGACATTGGTGCCCAACCTTTTCGGCTCGGGGGTCACATAGCTCACTCCCACAGCTATCACGGGTCATACGCAGTCAGTAGTATTGTAGGAGACTATTTTAAGGAAACCTGAAGGTATTTATTGTGGATTAGGTCTACCTGCTTTAATGTGACACCTGCACCTGTATGTCTGACGCCAAATTGTCGATGTTTGGCTGCAGGTGTGTTGTAGCCAGTTTCTTTCTCCATACGGAGACGAAGTCGGCATTTCATTGTTGTTGATTCTTCGCTCATTAGTCAACTATGTATGTGTCAACATGGGTACCTTTTGTCAATGTTGGCACAACGTTATTGTGCAAAATGTTCCCGGACATATTGCCGCTAAATGAGGAATAGGAAAAAATGGTACCAGCGGTAAAAATGGATGATGACAGCTCATCAAGAGTTAATCATCTTAATAATTGCCTCTGCCTGTCGATCTGACTCAGGCGATCAGACTACTCTGTTATTTAAGAAATTTCAATTTCCTCCCTTCCTTGTGAGTCGATGATTGATTTCAACTTTGTGTTCAGTCGTAATGCAATTGAAGTTGAGCTGCAGTCTTCCATTGCCTCCGTTGCTTTGTGCTTCAATCGAACTAGATGATGACGGAACTGAGATGAGACTGGGATTTGACATCCCTGTTCTCGTCGTGGTTCGTTAGTGAAAGAGATTTAAAAAGCATTAAATTGAGCTTCTCCATTAATTCTTGTGGAATATTAACGTCCTGCATATGATTTGGTGCCAAATTTTTATGGCATGAGTTGAGAGTTACGACATTATATGTTCCACTCATTTCCGAAAGTGAAATCCCTTCGGAAATTCGCTATTACTTTTCGCGAATTGCGCAATGCTCTATGATGATACTGTAAAAATAAATATCTCCTTGACTCACAATCCCTAATGATTTCATCCTTCAAGGTAATAAGGAACCTACTTTTAGAAGGTTGTCATGAGTAGATGAGGCAATGATTAAAATTATCATAAACTCTTGATGAGCTGTCATCATCCATTTTTCATCATCATCCATTTTCACTGCTGGGACCATTTTGTCTTATTCCTCATTTAGCACCAAAATCTCCGGGACCATATTGTCCTGGATTCGTGCCGAATGGGTACCATTTGGAAGCAATTCGTTCTTGTATAAAACTCGTGTATCCGTCCAGAACCTGCTCTCTCTATTGTACTTCTTCATCAAGGGCACGACGAAATCTTTCTCTCTTTCGAAAGAGTCACCTAAATTACGACATGCAAACCAGCCTAGAGGCCATGCATGATTCCGGGTTTGTAACTTTTGCATCTCTCCTTGTTTCGGAGTTTCTGTCATTCGGAAAGAACGAGTAAAAAGGTCTTTCCATTCCACTGCTTCCAGTTGTCGTTTGAGCAGGTTATAGCAAAAACACACACACTTTTAATAAATAACTCCCTCCCCTCATTGGAACGATTTTCAAGAAACTTACCGTGTGCATAGGCATCTTTCCAACAGACTTTCCAAATTTCATCGGCATTCGTTTTACCGAGACAACGCAATAAGCAATTATTTAAAATAAGTTGCATGTTGAAAATGGACGGGAGTGGCGGAGAAACCTTCATGCTCCTTGGATACCATGTAGAGCTCGTTGAAAAATCTCATTTGAATTCATTATTCCTGCTTCCTTATCTTTTCTTTTCTTGATGCTGTTTCTACCGGACAAGGGCTGCTCGAAATATTGATGTTAGAAAATAATCACGATGTGAGGCTGTGGCGATATTGATATCGTTCAGAGCGTGCAAATAATAATTATTGTCGACGATGTCTATATGGATATAATCTTGATACTACTGCCTCCTTCAGGTGGGGAATGTTTCTTGCGGGGTTATTATGATTTTTTTTGTTAATAGAGACAGAGTCTTCACATCGTTTAGGGAAATCTAGGAAGAGAAATCTCCCTTTCTTTCTGATTTTGACAGCGGGAAAGTTCGCATATAGGGAGGCTAGTAATTATTGACTAGGGTCGTACCATGATATGATCGTCTTGCGCATGGCCTGTTCCACATGTGCCCCCACATCGGGCGCAAATTCACCAGGGGTGCCCCGAAACGTGCCAGAATGAATGAAGCAATAATGGACCCCACACTCAGTTTCACTTCAGAGAGTAGAAGTGCCTTCCCTCTCGGCGTCATTTTGGACGCTTGGGATTGACCCTTCTTCCTTCTGAGGGGGGAGGGGGGGCGTTGGGAGTCTCCTTGCACAGGGCGCCGGAATAGAACCGGTCCTGATCTTGCTCATCCTACCGTATATGATCCTTCCTTTGTTTCTCTGTCAACTTCACCAAATAAAGAGGGGGGAAAGGGGGAGGCTGGCGTAGCTACGCCCATCCATCTTCATTTCAAAGTAGAGAAGTCAACATGTCATAAGTGCCTTCTACATTCAGTGAAAATCCAGTAGCGGATGACAAGAACGTACCAAAAATCTGTGCAATTTATCTTCCTTGTTACGTATTTTGGGCTAGCCTACTCCTGTTATATCCGGTCCAACTTTGCAACGCCGGCATTGCCTGGGCATTGCCTGTTCTGGTGGCTCATTAATTTTGTGCTGTCATCAGCCTGTCGGAACATCGGAAAGGGGCTCGAGGCTATCAGTGGCGGACCTAGGTGTTCCTGGCACTCGTCAGGCATCTTATCAAGATTCCTAAAATCATTCATATGTGATGCCCCCCCCCCCCCCCCCCCCCCCACCCNNNCTAAAACACTTCCTTGGTGGTGCCCCCCCCCCCCCCCCCAGGAGCGTCGCGCCAGTGTCTAGCGGAGGGGTCAAAGAGAAATCACCCTCTCCCCTCGGGAGAGAGGAAGATGGATGGTACGAGCCCATATAACGACTCCTTTGAGTGTGGCAAGGTTGGACAGGATAGACTATAGCTGTAATCTACGTTAAGAAGGAAAACAATAATCGAAAATCTAACATCAAGATGATCGACGCGAGAATGGAACACGGGATGAATCGACGGAAACAATCTCTCACCACCCCCCTTCCCCCTTCTCATTGCAGCCTGCAAGTACACGCTGTTGATGGTCATAGGAGTGGGAAGAAGAGGGAGACCTCGATCTCTGAGAAAATAGAAATATCGCGATACCCCCTGTAAGCAGTAATAAAGTGGAATAGGGTCAGAAGAGAGGGAGGGGAAATGCGGTGGGCGGAAATCTCCAACGCCGCTTTGTGCTTCCCCCCTTTCCACACGCCTTTCTCCTCCCCCTGCCGACGATAAAATCGATACACAGGAAAACCTCATTGATTCAAAATTCAGGAGACCAAAAAATGCCGACTTTGCAATAGATGGGTTGGAGTTACCCGATTTCGTTGTACTTTCTCTCTTTCGCCATGGCATACTCACCCCTCCTTTGCACTCACAACAGAGGCTGCGACTGCAGCGTCGAAATTTGACTGCAGCGACCATGCGAGGTTTCTGACTGTATAACATGTGACATGTTGGTGAGAGGTCAATGAAAGGGGGTATTAAAGCCATCGTACACTCAGCGTGTGATGCGTGCAATTTGGACATGCATGCGTCCACATGCGTTCGAATGCAAGGGAACACGCGTGTACACTTATGCCCACACGCCTTCACAAGTACCCTGTATAAGGGAATCGCAATCACAATGTTTTGACTAGGGTTTTATTTTTTAAATCAGAATATATATTTTAATGTGATGCATTGGATTGACCTCCTTAACTGGCATTAAACTAAGGATTTCTCTTTTTAACAATTTTGTCCCTATATCTGTGGAATGACCCAAATGCGTGAGGGCATGCTATGTACACGCGTGTTCCCTTGCGTCCGAATGCATATGGGCGCATTTAGACATGCGAGTCGCATGCGTGTCGAACACGCATCACACGCTAAGTGTGAAACGGCCTTTAGTGTATGTTTAGAACAACGATTCAGGGCAGAGAAGTTTCCCAGAAGACAATTAGCTGGCCTTGCAGTCAATTGAAATGCGAGGTTTGGGACAGTAGGTCGTCTGTTCCTGGTAGGAGGCAATGCCCTCGAGGTAAGCGAACATGTTTCAATGGGTTTATAACTCACGGGAGCAGAAAATACCTTCGAATTTCAATTTATTGTCCCAAGACATATGTGTATCGAGCAGCCCAATACCGAACCCACACTACATAATATAAAATGTTCTCATAAGACTTGTAAGATAGCAACAATTTTCATTTGATCCTAGGAACACTCAAACATTTTAAGGAAATTTTCAGATTTTTCGTCGTAAAAATTTCCGACTAAGAACATGCAAACCTATATTTCCCGTAATACTCTGGGGGGGAATCCCCTGCATTTCCTTGGAAATCCCATTTCGTGTTTGCTCCGGAAAATTTTCCTTCTTCTTCCTGAAATGTGGCTAAGGGACCTTCATTCGAAATCCAACCACTAAGCGGACGATCCTTTTCCTCATTCGCGTCTGAAAAGTCTGTTTCGAATATTCCACAAAAAATCCTCATGATGATACGGACCTTTCCATATTGACACCTAAGGGAAGCTATCCGACAGCTTTAGTTTCTGATCCGAATGGTAGAGAACTCCCACTCGTCCCCCAAATACCCCACAATTACGATATCGTGATGCTTTGGGAAAAAGAGATTGGATTCCCAAGAAGAAAGGTCATTTCATGCGTATTTCCCTATCGGATACAGGGGAAACGAAGAGCATGACAGCTTCTTCACCCCGTCCGGAAAAGAACCGGTCTGAAACGATTACTTCCCATGTAGCCATGGGTGATCCAAAACTCGTCCATGGACAGTCCAGTTGTCCAGAGATGGGTCGGATGCAGTCCAGAAGTGGGTCGTCCTTTGGAAGTACATAGGGTGTCATCGCCATGGATCGATATCTACTCATGCATTCTGAACTTTATCCGAGCACAATTTCCCTAAATCGAACACTTAATTACTTCCATTTTATTGATGATGGATTTTTTGGAATGATGTTACGAGCATCCGAACGTGGGATTTCTATTCTATTTTTTTCAATTCAAATCTCTCATCCAAGGTCGAAATCCAATAACTTCCATCATTATATAGATAGTGTGACCATTGCATGATTTCATTTAGAGTTCGACATTATGAACGAAATGAAGAGACACATGGAGAGGGGTAAGGCAAAAGAGGCAACTTTCCCCGAGCTACATGCCTGGGGGCTTCCACGCCGGGGCCCAACCAATCATGCTATTCATTCCCACGTGCGAGACTTCACCAAGATGGCGGAAGCACTTGTAAGTCACGAGGCAGCGAAGGCCTCTCCAGAGACATCTATTTACACTCTGCCTTTTAAGTCTCGAGGCAGCGAGGGCATCTCCAGAGACACCTATTATACACTCAATGGTTTGGATGGAGAAGGAAGTAATTATTAATACATTACTCTCGTCTATCCCGTCCTTATCTCTTATTCAGGAGATGGCTTACTTCCATCGTCAAATAAGTGGCGATATGAAGAAAATGAACAAACTTACTTCACAAGGGGAACCACACTCTCACCATGCAATGTGCAAGAATTACCGGGAATCTCCTTGAGCTATGTTACGTCTCTCTACAAATGAATTAATTAGAATGACTTCCTTCCTTAGGCTTGTCCGTGGGAAATTATCAAGTAGAGGATGGAAGCTAATGCAGAACAATTCGTTAGCATTTAAGGAATCAGAAAACATATAGCGGCGGGATGAGCGCGATCTCACTTATATTATGGGAACTTTATATTTCTTGAATGAACTGCTAGATGTCAGGACAAATGAAAGGACGGGGATTCCATCGAAGGACATCCAATGGAAGACCATAAGAAGTTGTCCTTGGAGGTTCCTTTGCTGGACGTCCCATAGATGCCCAAAGAAGGACTGACACATTGTTTCATTCGTAATGTCGAAATCTAAATGAAATCATGCGCTGGTCCAATTATAATGTCACACTATCTGTATATTGATTGAAGTTACTGGGTTGTGACCTAAGATGGGAGATTAGAAGAAAAAAAAAAGAAAATAATAAATCCCATGATCGGATGCTCGTAACGCCATTCCATAAAATCTTCATTCAATGAAAAGGAAATAATTGAGTGTTCCATGTAGGGAAATTCTGCTCGAATAAAGCTCAGAATACATGAGAAGATATCGATCCATGGCGATGGCATCTCTGGACAACTGGACTGTCCATGGACGAGTTTTGGATCACTCGTTGCTACTTGGGACTCTTTATCGATACAGTACACACTGAAACAACATATTCAAATAATTTTTTTGTGGAAGACCAGCTGAAAGAATAACTTAATTAAAGAGATGTTGCAGCAGACTCCTGTCCATTTAAACATCTGACTTCTTTTAAGTGATCATTCTTGTCTCAGTGCAATGAATTCTAATGAAATTTAAAATACGTGTTGGAAAGATACCACCAAAATAGCACCGGAAAGATTACTGAATGTTGAATGTACGTTTCATTTAAGGTACTGCCAATATGCCATGAACGTCCTCGGGAACGTTCTACTCACTGTTTACGTGTCCGAAATTTAGTTTAGAAAAAATTTAGATTTTAGAAATCAAAAACAGTTCAAATGATGCGTTCCCCGAACGTTCATCGAGGAAGGTACTTGAATGTTCCCAAACAACAACAAAATATTCAACAAACTTCCCTTATCAGGATTCAGCCAATAAGCAATTGACATCTTGAAAATGATCTTTTCATCACTTAAATTGCATTTAGTCCAATTTAGAGCCCTGCTCCCGTGCCATGGGCCATCATGCAGCCAAGCCACCTTGGAAGATGAACCATCCTCCCTCCATCCTCTGAGACAGCAAGGAGACTCCTTGAACTGGGTTACCACTTTAGACAAAATTGCTGGAGAATTCAAATGTGATGTCTGTAGGCAGTGGCGTAATTTAAAGGGGGCGGGCGGAGGGGGGGGGGGGCAGCCGCCCCCCCCTGACGCCCATAGGACAGAGCCTGGCGCCCCCTTGGAGGAAATAACTCCACTCGGGTGGAGTTTGGCGCCCCGCTCTGTTGCCTTGCCCCCCCTGACCCTTCTGCCAAAATACGCCACTCAGGGCCGTTTCTGGGGATGTTGGCGCCCAAGGCAAGCAGTTCCAATGGCGCCCCCCCCCCTCTCCCTCTTTACCCCGCTGGCGCCCCGGGCGATCGCCCGCCCCTAGAAACGGCCCTGACGCCACTGTCTGAGGGAAAAATCGGGAACTGTGTGGAGAATAATGGGAAGTATATCATGTATTGACTCGCTATGGCGGCAGCTTTGGCGTTATCTTGCTTTGGTTATGTGAACCTTGGTTTGTTCAAGTCACTACCAGATGACGGGCCCGCAGCTCAACCAAGTAGCACCGATGTGTAACCCTTCAGTACCGTGGGATTTAAATCCATTTACATAGCCTGATTCTGGAGGAGATATTGATTTAAATATCAAAAGATGAAAGCGTATTTTTTACTTTAACGGTCATAACTTCTGTATTTGTTCTTGGATTTAGATTTGGGATTTGAGTTTGGAGTTCCACCTTTCAGATGACGCCGTCAGATTTCAAATATTTGAAAAATTCACAACCGAAGAGGTGCAGCAAGTTACCGCTGCACTGGTCGTACATTGTACGTCGGACGGCTGTATATGACGCGGCAGCCGGTCGTACAGTATACATCGCACGGATATGAAGGGTTAGAGAAAACGTCTCTTTAAAGTTCAACTAATGTCCTTCAGAAACATCATGAAGAATAGGATTTTGTAGATCAAACGGCACCTTAACTGAGCGCTCAAAGCTGTTCATCACCAATTCAATCCGAAAATAGTGTAAATTCCAAAACCTCTTGAACCTGAACGTTTTCGAGAACGTTCATGTGTTACTTGGGAAGGTGCCGCATGCCTTTAAATCCTCTTTCATCATTCCCTTAATTAACAATTTCAGGTAATCTGCGATGATAATGGCATTTAATTATTGCCAAGAATAATTATTACATTCACATTACAATATTGTTGATTCTAAACGATTGCATTTGATGAAAAAAAAATTAATAAGGGAGACTTGAATGATTTCTCCAGCAGAATTTCTTGGGGAATGTTTCGTAAAATATGGGCAGGTGGACGTTGACTAAGTTGACGGTTGACTTGAGTGTGGCCTACGTATGCGCGAATTACCAAACTTCCGCTACTTGCACGTGCCAGCACGCCGCTCGTATTGGTCATCATTGTCTCACGTCTCCATGTGTTGACTCGGCAGTTTTAAAGTTACTTGAAAAGTTGAACGTGAGTTTCGGAAGGACGATGGGAGGTACTAGACCCAAAGACCTAACTTCAGAATGGGATTCCATGGAAGTGGAAAAGCTAGCCGACCCTGTCGATACTGTCGAGGTAAGGTTGCCCTCAGCACAGGCGTAGTTTACATCTGGCCTAAGTTAAGACTAAGTTAAAACTTTAGCTACATCTCTCTACTAGAGAAAACATTAGGCCTAGGTGATTTATAGGCTAACATCTAACCATTCACTGCCAAGAGAAATTTGAGTGGCAATGACTTGTAACTAAGTTAAAGCAAACATTATTCATACCAAACTTAGCCTAAGATGAAGTTCAGTTCATATTTGTAAGCATATATCTGAGGCTCAGGCCTGGTGCAACCTTTCACAAATGTCTCCATTTGTATCTGAAGGAAAAGTGGAAGTTGTTGCCAGCTTTCCTGAAGGTTAGAGGTCTCGTGAAGCAGCACATTGATTCCTTTAACTACTTTGTGATTGTGGAGATCAAGAAGATAGTGAAAGCCAATGAAAAGGTCACCTGTGAGGCTGATCCTACATTCTATGTCAAGTGAGTCATTTGCCTTGTTTATGCTGTGGAAAGCGAATCGCATGTGACATTCGTAGCCTATTTTATTCCTAAGCAATTGTCCAGTAAGAAGTTTTAATTGTCAAATTCAGCTTAAATTTCAACTCATGAATACTTTCTTTCTTTAAACTTGTGGATAAATAAAAAGGGCTTCAGTCCTTAATCTGTGATTGAACCTGTGCTATTTTCATTGCAACATGATTAGGTTATGAATATACATGAGTACACCATTCTATCCTACTTGAGGTTGAAATTTAAAGGAAGTGGTGACTGCGTCTTGCTTGAATCACAAACCACTCACTGTAATCAATGATTCATCCAAAGAGGATATAGTTGAATGCATTGGACAAAAGGACTCCAGGCCAACAAACTGTCCAAGTGGTTGTTATACAGGATCTTTCAAAAGTCATGTAACCCATAATATGCAACTTTTTTTGCAACTGAAGTATAAAATCAAAACTCGCTTCATGTTGAAGGAACATATCTTGCCCATGAATAAAAGTGTCATACCAAGTGTTGGAAGTGACCATCACGTTCCTGCAAGCACATTACAACAAGCATAAACATGTTCACAGAAACATGATGTGAGGTTGATCGAGTAATGCTGGTGATTTCCAGTGGGATGTTTTGGTTCAACATTTCTAAGTCTCTGGGATTGTAAGCGTATACTCCTTCCTTAAGGCTTCAGCGCAAGAAATAATCAGGTGATGTCAATTCTGGAGCCCATGGCAGCCAGAGTTTCTTGCTTATGAGCAGTTTAATGGGTTGCTCTGCCTTGAAACCACGAGTCACATTTGTCAATCTCAAACATGGTGATAAGTTGCAGAATGATGGGTTGATAATGTTAAGCATTCACAGTTTCTGTGAAAAATGCAAGACCAACAATTGACGAACAACAATATAATACAATTGCTGATGTGTACATATTCCAGTTAGGTATACATTGGCACTTGTTTGCATATAGGGTTGTGACTTTTGAAAGACCCTGTATATTGGGCTCCTAAAGGAACATTTGTTACATTTTTCCAAAAACTCTTTTGAAGAAAGTGCTTTTATCATGTGGATGTTGACATCATGCAATTGTCTGTAGAGAATTTATTGTAGACCTTTTATGTGCTCAAGAGCACACTGAGTATCTTTTTTAAATGCCTGAATGCCATGGACTCATGCACTGCATCAACCATTTCACTAAGGCATAATGAGGAACCCTTATGGACAACAGCCTTGTAAGAAGTGACTCATTTGAATTTCTTGCTGATGTAGAAAATATTGACTTTTTTTTATTACTATGTGCTATTTATCTATTATCCTTTCATTGAAACCTGTCATGTGAACCCTGCAGCCCTATGGATGCAGAAGCAAGCATACTCAATGAATGGCATCTCCAACTTCCTTTATTTCAATCAGTAACTTTCAGGGAAAACCTGTCTCACCTAGACTCTGTGAATGAGATGTGCTCCAACTTCCTGTTTAGCCTTTTGGGGCTCTGAGTATTTTGAATATGTCGAAGCTCCAAATTTTCTCCATACCTTGGCACTATGCCAACATGAGACAACTCATGAGATAACTTGGTGTGGACCCCAAAATGTTAAGCAAAGGGTAAGGATGTTAGTGTTGAGGAATTTTGACTATTTGATGAATTAATATTCATCAAGAGGAGTCCAATATAACCAATACAAATTTGCCAATAATTATGATGAATGCCTCGCAGAGTCCAGAGTTACTATCCCATGGAATTTGGAAGGCATACGGATCAGGCCTATTATAGGCTTAACCTACATAGCTTATGTAAAAGGAAGGGAAATGGGAGTAAGGTGAACCTTCGATAGTATTCCTCATGGCTTGGAAAACCTTAAAGCAAAGCTGGCAGAATGCCAGCGTCAAAGTTTCGAATTGAGTCACGGCTTCCAATGGTAGATCGAAGGAGCTGCACAGCAAAGAATCTAGAGAATGCCTTCTTACATGCAGTTTCTACTTGAGATCAAAAGCTTAACTTATCGTCAATGATGACGTCAAGATACCTTGCTTCGATGACTCCTCTATCAGAATAGCTGTAAGGTGCAACGAAAGTGCACACGAACGAATATCAGAATTATCCTGATAAGAGATTGCGGATTGTCCGAGGTAAGGGGACATTCAGTCGGCAGCGAAGGGAGTGTTTATTAATCGTATTAATCGACTCGTAAAGATACGGGAAAGAAAGGGAACATTGAGCAGGGAAGCGGTGGGGGGAAAGAGGTGGAGGATACATGGATCTTAGACGGGGCTAACCCGAAGAGACATAGAGTATTGCAGGTTGCGCTATGCTGGACTTAATTTTGCGTTCGAGCTGGATCATCGTGAAGTTTCTTACGGGGACAATAGCGCATGCACACCTTGCATTGGACTCGTCCGTTCTCAGTGGGCGGAAGTGGCTATCATAGGAGGCAATAGGGATAGCGGCATAGGGGGCTCCCCCTATGCCGCTATCGGGCTACCCCTTCCCCCCCCAAAAAAAAAAAAATATATATATATATATATACATATATATATATTATTGAGAGAGTCATGCCGATCAAGCTAAACCTATAGCCAGCACGAGCCATCGCTCCCAGCACCTGGGTTGTCCTGATTAAGTTATCTCGAAGGGATATTCTTTTCATATATACATATATATATATATGCATACTCCCTAAGTAATAGGCTTTTACTTTTGAGGAGACAATTGTGAACCACCCTGTATATATATATATATAAATAAATCCTTCCACGGCACCTGCCGGTATTGGAGATATGAGGGGGGA